CCTGTAACAATATTCTGTCTCAAACTTCTCAAACTTACTATAGATCTTGCATAGAGATGATAAATTAGTGTAATTTGCTCATTTACTTGCTACCGCTGCCTCTTAACAGTTAATGTGTTAGTTTAATAGTTTCCACACACATTGGTGCATGCGTAAAATGCTGCAATATAAGTCAAGTTATTTAATTGTAGGCATCAAATCACGCTTTTGTGTCACCAAAGGCCAAATGGCCCTGCCCCTAAAATGGTGAAATTCCTAGCCTGCTCAGGGTTGAATAAAAGGTACTGCCAACTTCTTCTTATTTTAGATTTTTATCTGCAGCAAATATTCTTCTGAAAAGATGCCAGAGTTGAACATTAAAAATGGAATTGACGGTAAAGAACATTTCTCCTTGTAGCAAAAGTGCAAATAGAAAATTATTTATTATCAAGTATGTATCAGGTATCTATCAAGGAACTAAAATAGATTTTTTGTATTAATACTTTATTGTTCACCTCCCCACTTGTGAAGTGCCCCTCTAAAGTCCCATTTAAAGTGACACTGCATTGGTTTCATACTGCACTCCCATAAAGTTGGGGGCCTCATAAAAGACAGAAAGGAGAAGAAAAATAAGAAGTGGTTGATTTGTCTGTTCTCTCATTCCCTTCCCCACTCTTTCTTCCCTCCTCCCTCCAGGAGCACATAGCGAAGCAGTTTGGTGTGATGCAGAGTCAGATTGGTTATGACATCCTGGCAGAGGACACCATCACTGCCCTGCTGCACAATAACCGCAAACTGCTGGAGAAACACATCACCAAGACCGAGGTGGAGACCTTCGTCAGCCTGGTCCGCAAGAACCGAGAGCCCAGGTACACACAGAAGGGGAAGAAATGAGGGGGGAGGTGGTTGGTATGTTGTTATTGTTTGCTTCCTGCCCAGTTCTCAACTATTATGTTTGTGTGTGCAGGTTTCTGGACTACCTGTCAGACCTGTGTGTGTCCAACAACGTGGCCATCCCGGTCACCCAGGAGCTCATCTGTAAATGTGTGCTGGACCCCAAAAACCAGGATATCCTCATCAAAACAGAGTGAGGACAGATCAAACAAATACTCTCTGCTTTATCTTAATAAATGTATCTCTGAACATTTTTGTGGCTTTCCTAAATGGGAGTAAACATTTTCCGTCCTTCCTTTCCTTCATGTTATTTCCTCCATATTATTTGTTTGTTACTCTGACCAGCAGGGAGCAGCACAGTCTGTATTTTCTGTTGCATGTTGCTGTCTTGCAAGTGAACAAAAAAAGCGTTAGCATTTTAGATAATTGAGAGAAGAGCTAGGTTAACATTAGCATGTTTCACCAAAATCAGCAGGAATCTTTAGCTATGAGGCTGTTTCACTCCAGACTGTTGTTATGTTGATTATGATTATGATTGTCATGTATGCTATTTCTGCTCTATTTCTGTTTCGTTGCCTTTAGGCGTCGTGTCCCAAAAGAGGCGCCCCCTGGTGGTGTTCAGGGAGAGTACATGGCGATGGATGACTATGGAGATGAAGATGAGGTAGGTTTGCCAGCATATATATTTTTATCTCAACTGCCAAGTCAGCCATTTCAAATTCAGGATGTGGAACCAAACTTTATTTTAAATTTTAATAGAGAGCCCAAAGTTTCCAAAGACACAAAATATATATATTTTTTGAAGGAAATGTGTATAAAATGATGCAAGGGACATATAGTATATTTCCATTTAATAGGATGATATGAAAAATAAATTAGTGCTCATCTTCGGTCTGAATATTTTTCTTGCAGTAAACATCTTTTTCTAGCTTCAATGAAGAGCTAGAACATGATACCCAATATGTATGTTATACTTTGAGCAGGCTAGAATAAGATGATTTTTCCAACCTTAAACCTTCCAGTTGGATCCCGCAAAACCAGGAATAATTTTTTCTGTCAGCTTCATTTTGTTACATTTTGCAGGTTAAGTCAAGAACAACTTGCTAAGAAAATGATGAAATAGTTTCAAAGAATGAATCACTGTTAACTCGTGGCTTATGAGTCTTCATTGCAATTGTATTCCTTTCTTTAGGTAGACAGGACTATATTTCTGTGGTCATGGTGTTCATGTCTGTTTCTGTAGGTGTGGCTGGTGTGGACAGATAAGACCAATGAGAGACAGGAGAAGAGCATCAGACAGCTGGCTCAGGAGGCGAGGCAGGGAAACGCTCATGATGAGAATGTCCTTACTTACTACAGGTAGACACACACAGATGAGTCATCCTCTGGGTCCATGAATGTCCAAAGAAAATTTAATGGAAAACTTAAAAAAAAAAAGGTTTATTGTTGTTTTATATTTATATTATTATATTTATATTGATTCCAAGTAAAAGACTTGGCCCATTTGTGGTGCTGAAGGAAAAGCAGGGGTGTCACCAAAATCGTTAAGCTTCATCCTCGGGCAGGAATAAATATAATCAGCAAATTTCAGAGAAATCTTAATCTCTTTCAAAGTGTATCAAGGACATGCAGAAAATTTGTAAACTGCCTGAAAAATGATCCGTTGGTCTGTATTGTTTGCTGTACATGACATCGTTAATGTTTACACTCTGTGCACCTTGTCAGGTACCAGCTGAAACTCTTTGCCCGGATGTGTTTGGACCGTCAGTATCTGGCCATAGATGAGATCTCCAAGCAGCTGGATGTGGAGCTCATCTTCCTGTGCATGATGGACGAGACCCTGCCCTTTGACCTCCGGGCCTCCTTCTGTCGCCTCATGCTCCATGCCCATGTGGACCGAGACCCTCAGGAGCTGGTGACCCCGGTCAAGTTTGCCCGCCTCTGGACTGAGATCCCCACCTCCATCACCATCAAAGAGTTGGTAGATTTTAATACTGCTGCGAGTATGAATGAATGGTACAATCCAAGTATTAATTGGTTTAGGCTGAATTCCTGAAGTCACTCTCTCGTGAACTGAGTCTTCGTAATGTTACCCACTGTGATGTGTCTAGAGTGCTCA